TAACACCGCCGCGGTCGCGCGGCCGAGGTCAGTGACTCCACCGCAGTCGCGCGACCGAGGTCATTGACCCAGCCGCGGTCGCGTGCCCGCGGTCAGTGACCGCCCCCCCACCAAGGCCGCGCGGCCGAGGTCAGTGACCCTGCCAAAGTCGCGCGGCGGAGGTCAGTGACATTACTGTAGTATGTATATAATACAATATAAAGTATAATACAATATTATAAATATATAATAAATTATATGTATAATATGTATTATATTTAATGTTATATATGATATAAATTACAGTCACGTTATTTTCACGTGTTGTTTTTCTACTCTTTCCTGTCGCGTGACTTTAGTTACGTTTTTAATTTTCTCTACATATACGACGAACTGTCTCAAAATCGCTTTTCATTATTTACTCCTTCGATCTTACCGATTTGATTCGACTCGATCAACCAACCAATCAATCGGCAACGCGGAAAAGAGGGAACAATAGGTGCGATATATTCGACTCCAAACGCGCACTTCTCGATCCAAATGCCTTTTTTAATACAGGAGGAAGACATTTGACTTTCATTTGTTGTGCTATTCAGTTCAGGTTGTTAAAGAACTGTGTTTGTGTGTTTTTCTGTTATCTATTTAATAATATAAAACAAATATTCTTGCGACGTATATCCGTTAATTTATATATTTTTTATAGTTGCAATAATATATTTGCGCCAAATGTGACAAAAGTTCTGTCACATTGAGAAAAATATAGTAAATATAAAAGTACATATGTGTGTGTGTGTGTGTGTCTGTCACTCTCTGTCTCCGTCAACAGTTTTATTTCTTAAAAACGCGGCTACAACATACCTAAATACCAACAATCCGAACACATCTCGATAATCCGACACACACATTGTGTTGCATTCGGATATCTGGGAATTAGCTCGGATTATCGAGGTTGCGCTGTAATTGCTGTAATTCCATCACTTATCGTGGCTTTTCTATTTCACGACGATATATTGTTTTATCTCCGATAAAACAAACAACATTCACGTGTGTGTGTGTGTGCGCGCGCACACATACAAAAATGCATTCAAAACGAAACAAACGTCACAAAACCGGATTTAACCTCGCGACGATATTTCACGAGAAGATACCCGGTTGTCCGTTCGATATCCCTCGCCAAGTCGATAATCTGAAAACCAGATTTTTCCAATTACTTCGCGATCGTTCCGGACAGCTCGATCGTAACTTAATAAATTTCCGCTCTCCGCCCTTCGCGTGTGCTTTTCGCGTTCATCCCGGGCTCTGGTTCTCATCTGCCGAACGTCACGTCTCGTTTGTCTCCCAACCTCGGTGCAGCTTCCGTCGATCCACGCATATTTCCGCGCCGTCGAACAAAGCGAATAGAAAACGAGAAAGAAGTACGAGCGCTAACGCAGATGATGTTTCAGTTTTGGATTTTTGTGATTCGTGCAAACCTCTCGCAATCTCGTTTTTTTTTTTAATAAAAATCCTGTAATAATTAAATGACTTAAAAAAATAATAAAAATAATAATTGTAGTAAAATTGTACTAAAATTGCTAATAATTTCAAAAAGTAATCTCGATTTTACATTTTTGTTTAAAAAACAAAAAAAAAAGTAGTTTGCGTTTCGATCTCTCTCTTAAATTCGCCACTGAAGCGCGTCGCGCTCAACTGCAGGCTGCTGCGGTGGGAAACGGTATAAACGGTTTACACCCGGTGGATATCTCGAGCGAGAAAAGGGGATGGTGGTCGCGGAAGGATGCGACCGGCAGCGAAAAGAAGAAGATGGAAGTATAATAAGAAGAGAAATATGAAAGAGGATGAGAGAGAGACGAGGAAAAAGACGAAGAAGATATATGTAGAGGCCTCGTGGGCGCCCGGAGGGGTGTCGGAAAATGTGATCGATCCTCTTGGCACCCCTCCAGCCCACCGCGGGTTAAGATCGAGGGAACCGAGACGGGCGCGCGTCATGCATCACACGAAGCGTCCGGCGCATCCAGCGCATCCGGATGCAACATGCGCGAAAGAAGAAGAAGAAGGTTCTTAGTGTGGCGAGAAGGAGCAGAGGAGGGTGCAAAGGGGAGGACAACGCGAGTGACGACAGTTGGGTTAAAGAGAGAAGGATGGCTGTCTTCGCCACGATGCGGCAGAGCAGCAGCGGTGCGTTATCGGTTACACGCTTCTCCGAATCTGGTACGTGCGCACACAAGCTCCGTTTGTCTACCTTTCGCTTTGTTTCCGCCATCAAAACTTTTACGCTCGAGGCTGCGAGACAACACGCGCGAGTAAACCGCGACGCGGCAGAAATCGTGCGGCGTACAACTGATATCTAACCGATTTTTGCAAAATCTCGCGTTCGGCTCATTCGAACCGGTCGCGGTGGAAACGTTTAAGTTGCAGAGTTTAATAAATATTAACAATTAAAACAGAGATTCATTTAATAAATATTGTTCATCCGTACTCTTTAGTGTTAATAATTATAAGTTGCAACGTTGTTATTTAATCGAAATAACAAATTAATAATTAACGATCATTAGCGACTGCTACTACTAAATTTTATATTACGATTCTCATTTAATGCGCATTATACCCTTAGTAAATAAATAACGCGCGTTTCTTAGTGCGATAATACAGTACGAAACTTTCTTGTACTCTTTTATCTTGATTTATTATTCTCCTTCGTATATTTAACTTGTTTATGTCGATATCTATCTGGCGCGGGTAGATCGAAGTCACACTAAAACGTTTAAACAAGTTTTCAGAGTAGAGAAAATAAGACAAAAAAAAAAGCCTTGTGTGTAATTCAAATATTTTAACCAAAGTCGAGATATTATATTTAACGAGAACTTCGCGAAGTTACGTAATTGTCTCTCGCTCGGTGGGGGGGAAGAGGAAAGATGTTTGATGTGGTCTCGCGTCAAGCTAACTTTATAACACAATAGGGAAGCTTGACACCCGACATCCGGGCTTAAAATATCGTATCGTCTTACCTTTCGACCTGGCTCGCCGCGGCAAAGCTCCCACAGAAGGCAGAGAGCCAGGGACGAGATGCCGGTTTCCTTGGCGAGAGTGGCCAATGTCGACGATACCAGCGCCAGCAGCAGTGGAAACGGCGATCTCGTGCGATTACAATGAGCCGAGTACGTCAGGAAAGATGTCAAGGTCAGGAAGCAGGCAAGAAGGTCGGCACGTCCGACTATACCGGCCACAGCCTCGCTATGAATGGGATGGACCGCAAACAGGAAACCCGTGATCGCGTGCGCGAGATTGCTCCTTCCTGGCAGGACCTGCGGAGTGTAATTGCAGATATATCTCAGTAAGGTACACATGTAAATGTCTCGCGAGGCGATCCTTCAAGCGGAGAACGGCGCGGAGAGAGAGTGGGGTTAATTAACTCTACCCCTTAATTAACTGTACTCCGCTTCGTACAAGGATCGCTCGATTCGAATTTCCTCCAGTCCACGGTTGCTTATCAAGCGAACGACGAGCAACAAGTACAATATTGTCTGTTTGCATTGTTGTACGAATCAAATATTGAATGTTAAAGAATAACACGGACGGATTTTTGTTTTTTTCAAATTCATATCGAGAAAAGATTTTCACAAAAATTTATTCTCACACGTAGTAGGTACACAATCAAACATTGTGTGACGGAAACACACATTGCGACATAAAAACCCTCGTTGTCAGTAAAAAAAAAAAAAACCTCCTTGAAGTGTTCGAGAAATGAAAATACAGATGAGAAATCTGGGCCAAGACATAAAAAAAAAAAAAAAACGTGAAAATAGATATGTAAATATGTAGAACAGCACAATTCGTAGTTTTACGCCCGACGTTCGGTAATGATCGTTGGCAGCGATCGGTTTGGCGAGAGAGTATTCGAAAATTATACGATCCCGATGCGCACCGTATAAAAGAAAGTAGTTGAATGAACGACGCGAGAGACGAATAGAATTTTGAGCAGAGAAGAAAATTGTATAAATGTCGTGTATATATATATATTTTTTTTTTCAACGAGCCAGTGAAAAATCGAAGGTGGCGCGACGAGAATTATATAGTCTCGAGAGGGCGAAATTGACCGATTTGAAATCGTCGAGGCTCGCGCTTGCGCAAGCCAAACGACGAAATGCCGCGTGTATGTACGGCAGATATTTAACAAACATGCATAACTCAAAACGCGGAGAGTTCGAAGTACGAGAAGTACCTTCATTAATACACTTAGACCCAGTTAAGTAGCGTGACAGTTTCATTACTCAGTAAAGTGCTGCGTGTATTAAATTAACACGGCTCCTCATACTTGCCGGCTTCTCGCGCCCATAATAACGCGCTAAAACGATTTGAGTTGCTAATGAACTTATAAAACGGCAAGCAACTTTGATATTACTGCTTATTTTCGCAGAGTCCCTCTCCGGAAATGCGCTAAGTATTCTCACATAGAAATCTTGAGAAAATCTCTCTCTCTCTCTCTCTTCGTCATTCCCGGTATTACATTTCTCTCTCTCTTTCTTTCTATAGCGTGACTTGAGCACTGTGTGTGCTCTCGTTAAATCTTCTCTACTTTCTTTTTCAAAGGCTTTTCATCGGTATTTTTGATTTACTTTCGCGGAAAAGAGATTTTACACAGCGCGCAGAGTCGGGTAAGAAAACGTTTGTGGAATAAAATTTCACGCCGTTCAATCAAACTATATATATCGCGTCACAGAGATTTTATCTAATTTAATAAACTTAAACACATTGAGTTAAATATATTTTTGCGCATTTATCGAACTAAAAACTTTGAAGTCTCTAGCGTAATTTAATTTTCTCTAAATTAGATACATATAATTAAACTTTACTGCGATTTACTGTACGCGCGTAATTAAATTGTACTTTCCGCGAGTATGTACTAAAACCGTCGCGCCAGAACCGGAGTTAATAAATACTCGCGAAGTTAAAAACACGATGACCGAAAGGAATGATGATAAAATCAAAGTGTCGTTAAAACGATTAAGACTTTGTGCGAGCGAGTGAGTTTTGATTCGTTTTATTACATACCGGAAAATATGCAATTCGAAATGCGCGCGTGTTAAAACGAACCGCGTTGTTGCGTTTCTTCTCGTCGCGTTTCGTGACGCGTTTTTCGACACCGGAGGAATCTCAAGTTAACCAAAAACAAAATGTGACAGCGTGAAAATAAAATCGCACAGTATAGGCTTATTGAAAATTAAAGTAAATTAAAAAAGTCGTTCTCGACGATTTCCCGAGAAAACATGTTCCGGATAATAGAACGAGGAGAATCTGCCGAGGAGTTTAATTTTGAACTCGTACAATACCAAGATCTGAATAGATCCATGGGATCTAAATAGATTCATAATGTGTCTTTTACTGCGAGACAAATTGGATCTCTCAATGTCTCGCGACAATTTTCCGTCTCACAAATTAACGTCGTCGTAAAGATAAGAGAGCGTGAGCAAGTGTAACACGTGTATGAAACTGGATGAAAGAATTATAAGTCCTCCGACAACATTTATTATGCCGGAATCATGATTAATTGAGGTTTCTTTTTTTACAGCCGAGAACAATAAAGACATCTTGGACGAATAGAAAACCAAAGTCGCGAATAAAATCGGTTAACAATTAGGTCTTCCTCGTCAGACGTTGACAAACGGCTTGCGCCATCAAAATGATGACGTGGGAACTAGATTTGACGATAATTTCACGTAATACACCGTCTCATAAAGGAGAAAATAACAAATTTTTTAATTTCAATCAATTTTTTTATTTCTATCAATTTGTGAATGAAGTTGGTGTGTCATTTCGTGAAAACTCACACATCATCGAAAGTTCTGACTTCCAATAGTTCGTGATAGATAAAACAAATAGCGCTGGCCACCAAAGCGGATAAAAAGTCCAGACTCTGGTCTAACCATTTCACACACAGATTCGCACAATCGCACCTGCGAAAAATCTCGCCTGCTTTTGTTTTCTACGAATTCAAGAAATTAGTGTGTGGAAGAAGTTCTCTCACCTTTCTGGCAACTTTGACCACGAGAACGGTGCAGGCGGCGTGCAGCGCTACGTTTACTAGATGATAGCCCCAAGGTTCAAGGCCACCGAGAAAATAATTCAAACGAAAAGTGGCCACGCAAAGCGGACGATAACTGCCGTGCGAGCCGCGTTCCGTCAGCGGTGTTCCCCAGAAGTCATTCTCAAGCAATCGATACCACGGTGTGCTCGCCAGCAAATCGGGATTCGTCAGGATAGCTCTTCTGCAACAAAGAAACAACAATCTCCGAATTAGATATGCATTCAGATCCGTGTGAAGATATTTTTAGAATTTATTTAAAATACATTCGAACACAAATAATATAATAAAAGCGTGAAATATATAAAAAATTAATAAAAAACCTGGCGCAACTTGTGGTGAAATTATTTTTCGATTTATATGCGACGCACCATAACAACAATCCGATTGCGAATAAAATCGGTGCAAAAATTGGCGAGCTCTGATTTTTTTTTTTTTTTTTCAGTCGCATTTGTAATTAGCGTGTAATTCAACGATAATTGTAATAATATAGGCCGGTGTGTATCGGCATGGGGATCGTATGTTACAGGAGTTACAATCGCGTTAAAAACAGAGCAAAATCTATTATTATACCTAACGCGCAATTCGATCTGCGGTTAAAATAAAATAAGCCGTTTCAATTTGCCTATTCCTCTCTCGCTATTCTGTGTAATTTAATACGGGATTTGCAACATTTCAGTCAGTTCATCGCGTTAACCGCATCAACCGAAGTTCTCGGGTTGAATGCCAGCGACAAATCATTCGGGGTGGCATTTAATAAACCATTTTTATCTCACATCCCGTGAATTAATTACTCGCGGCGGCGCGACACACATCTACATATAGTGTATTAGTCGGCAGAAGCAATTTTCGCACGCGTTATCGATTGGTTTTCTCCAATCAGTGTGTAAATGTCATTGCGTCGACGTGTTCGAATCTCTTATTGGAGAGAGCTTCGCTTTCGAGAGAAAAAATAAAAAAAATTGCAAATTAACGAGTGCTGTTATTTGTTTTGACAGGGAGAGATAATACTCAATAAAACGATTATTATCTCATTACGTGCCAAAAATTACACTTCAATGTGACATTTATTATTTTTGCGACGTAAGAAAAGAACAATGATTTAGAACAAATTTTTAGAAATTACACGCAAAAAAAAAAATACGATTTAATTTTTCGAAAGGATAATTCGAGAAGATAAAATTCGCGCGATTTCTGTTTCATCAGATCTCAAGACTTGGCCCTCTTTCGAATAAGTGGGACGTAAAGCGAAGATAACGCAATTAATTAGACGCCGCTTACACAAGACACTCGTTATTATCGCCTACTTCGCCGGCGAAGCAATCGTAGGTGAAGATCACTTACACAGGTCGTAGTGCGCGCTGGCCTACGAAAACGGTTACGACGGCGATAGCGCTCCGGTGAAACGGCCTTATCGCTCCGGTCTTATATCGCGTCCCGGTTGCACACTCACGTGCAACACACACATATGTATATTTCTACGTGTAAGAACTGCAAAGTGTATTTCGAGCACTTCATGAACCCTAGCGAGCGCCGCCTAAGGTCGTCCTTGAAGAAGATGCTGGAACGACAACGACGTAGTCGCGCGCGCGCTAGAATCGCAATGGCGCCGTTCGCTCGGAGAGAGCGAACTTTTGTCTCTTTACGGCGGTCTTAAATGGAAAAGATATCGATATACGCAGGATGTTACGGAATAATTTGAGATAATTTAGAGAGACGCTCGTTTTTCCCATCAGAGCGCGTTGAATACTCAGCGATTTCGAACGGGTTTTAATAAAAGTATGGCGGTATATATAAGTGATAATAAACGTGTGCGAGTAGAAAGAAGTGATTTAAATAATAAAAATGCGATTGTATAAGAGCGGATGTGATATTTAAAAATTAACGATATATATAAAAAAAACTCACGTTGATTTCAATACTTGTTTTTATACTTTAATAACCGAAAAGAGAGAGATTTTATCGATAGAATTTATTCGAGTGATAATAATTGTGTTTGCAACGCGAAATATATATTGTGCGTCTTTTTTTAGCGAGGACGCACTTTGTTTTTATGGAGAGAGTTAAATTACTACGGAATATCACACGGCGACCGTTATCGACCTTTTAGTTTATTAGATACGTGAAAATAAAACGGTGACGTTTCTTTTCTAGACGCGGAGAAACTACGTTCAACAACATTTTCAATATTGTTGTACTTTTGAATAAAAAAAAAAAAAGGCAACAACAACAAAATAAACAACGCAAGTAAAACTGCAACTATGAAATAAATGTTACAACGACCGTGTTACAACGAACGTTTGTGATAATTTCATGGAAATGTTCTTATTTCTTAATGCGATTCTTTTCAGAATTATCTGCGGACTCGGGGGCAAAAATCGCGGAGAAGTCGATACGCAAAGAAAGCTCGCAATTACGGCAGCGCGCTTTTACCTTAAGAGATTCTTTCTTGCCTTCACGAGAAAGAACATAATTGAATGCTTACACGGCTAAATCCGTTTATTCCTTCAAAGAAAGGAGAAAGATTACCACAACGACGATGTACAAGCGCTTCGTGCCGCGCTCTCGCGAAATGAATAAAGCTAAACGATAACGTTTTACGCGGCCGAGTCCATTTATAACTTCAAAGACGCGCGCGCGCGCGCGCCCGGAGAATTGCTCTTCGTCATTTCTGTTGAATCGTTTAAATTGCCTCTTCTTCGCGTTCTTCTCACATATATTACGCGATTGTATATTTACGCTCAATCGATAATCGCGCGCCGTGTTTTCGTCACGTCGCTGTCTCGTCCAATTAACGCGCTTCTAACCGGACGCGATGTTAAAAAAAAAAAGATTTGCAAAAAGTACACCGTCGCTCGTTACGCCTCGTCGAACTTTTTCTTCGGCGAATTGCATAGACGACGACGACGACGACGACGACGACGACGATCCCTCGCCTCAGGCGAGAAGGCGTTCTAATCGACGGCCGATCAATATTCATGGATATCGATGAACTCCGTGTTTCGGGTTCGTCTTCAGATACCCGGTACCAAAAGCTGCTACCACCACACTCGTCGGGATCCTCGTATATACTATATATATATATCGTCGGGAAAAATAGAACAAAAAGCTTCGTTCAACTTTGCGTCGTATAATTTTTAGTACCGCAACCTTTAACAAGCTGCACTCTTTTAATAATACCGTCTTTGACAATATCTGTATGACTATATCTGTTCTTATACATTGTGCGAGAGCACCAGCTTTTGATCAAATAATTTTCTCGCGAAAAGAGACGTCTCGCAAAAATCATCCGTTTTTGCAATGAGACTAACTTTGCAGATATTACAATAAGCGATATTTCAATAAGAAGTTTCTTTGTTGTATTTTTTGCCAATATATATTTTTCTCACAAATTTCCGCGGAATAAGTTTTTAATTTATAATTACGAGAACTTATTGCAATAATATTAATTATACAGATATACGGGAAGCGATTTGTAAACAATAACAGAGCAAATATATGGAAATCCACCGCACATTTAAATATTACATTGTACATTTCAATTTTACTTATAAAAAATTTATTGGATTCTCTCTCTCTCTCTTTCTTTATGTCCCTATCTCTTTCTCGTATTGCGCTGTTATAATATTTAATCGCAATCAGAGATATAGTATTAATCAATGAAATTATCATCACAAATTATCGAAAATGTGATGACTGCGTTTAATGAAATATACATTGTCAAAATAGAGATTCTAATTAGAACGGCGTAAATTGCCTGAATTTAAATATTTAGACGCCGCGGCTTCAACTCTCTCTGATACACGTTTTAAAGTACATATTCCCCTTTATTAATCTGGGAATAAATTACGTGTCGAGTTCGCGCGAAAATCTCCGCGCAATTCGTCGGGAACGTCGCGTAAAACGCGCGACACCAAATTACTTTCTTGTTAGTCGTTACCCGCACAATTCCCGTCGAATAATTTGTTATGCCGGAATGAGTTTGTCCGTAAAGCTGCGCTGCTGCGCGCAGCTCGTTCTCGCGGACGCGCGAGCAATCTCGATTACTCGCGCGTTTCAACCTATTTCCTACCGATGCTTTTTCGCGCGCGCTTTTCGGCTTCGCCGTTCGTCCGACTCGCGTGTAATGAAAATTTGTAAAATTTTCCCGGCGAGAAGCGCGAACGACAGCCGGGGGCGAGGCGAGCCATCAATTAATCCCCATTCATGCCGATTGCAGCATTCTGAAAATTGTCGTCGCACCCGCCTCGTTTAGAAGTTATTTTTCTGCACACCCCTCGATTTTCCGCCTCGTCTGAGCCAAGACCCGTCCAAGTAAGCCGCTCCTTGCCACCGACACGTTCCTGCAATTGAATTTACCGGCTATAATCTCCCGCGTCTCCCTGGACCCTAAATTTTTGACGTATTTGCCTGAGAGACGTGAGCGAAGGAGAGAGCGAATGAAAAAAGGGAAAAGAAATTTGAAATATTCTTCTAAAAAAAAAGACAAAAAAAAAAAAAACAAAAATTATAATACGTCATCATTTATCACCGTTAGCCGTGAGCTAAGTCTGAGTAACGAGAATTTATAATACAGGAAGATATATTAGACGTGTCTTTCCGTAAAGTCAAAAACAATTCTGAATTGTATCTCATTTTCTGTTCCACTTATCGCCGTCTTTTATATTCCCCTTCATCATTCTCGATCCCTTTTTGGGGAGTAAGGTTTGCGGAATGACGCGGCGGAAAGTTAATTCATCGTGGGGATATGTGCCGCGACGAAGTGAAACGGCGAAATCAATGTCGAAAATTTAATCTCGATAATGAACACCAAGAACGGCTGAGCACCAAGACCAAGGTGCTGTGCGCGCGTTTAATGGCGCGTGTAGCAGATCCAACAGAGATACAATTTCGACGATTTAGAGATCGATCACTCCTGTCGTCGGGAGGGTTGGTTCGCGCGCGCGCGGTCGATATCGCGCAGCGATACGATGGGATATTCGCATGGCGCGCGCGATACCGCGAATTATTTCTTTGAAATCCGCGGGGAAATAAAGACGCTCCGCAGGATGTGTGTATTTGGAGAACGCTCGTGTATACGACACAACTCACGATAACGCGCGTGACGTTAATGAAGCTCGTCATGGGCGCACGAAGGGATACCGCACCACGATTTTCCGTCATGAAGCCTAACTTTGAAGCGTG